GAAGCACCTCTAAGAGGGTCTGAGCTTAAGCAACCATGTCTGTATGCTCATTCTACACAGTTTTCAACGAAAAAGCTTAATACCTGACATATTACTCAGCAGCCTTCTGCTACTGCTTGCTTACCCTGAACTGCATAAATCTAAATGCATGCTTGGAATTCAGATGATACAGTCATTGAAGAAAGAAAAAGGAGACAACTTTTTAATAAAGGTTGCTGTGAGCTAAAAAAGAAAGACTAAATGTGCTTAGATTTATCATCAAGCAGATGGTATGACTCAGAAAGGCTTGAGACATTTTAAATGCTGTTTTTAAACTGTGATAAGAAACTGCTGAAGATTCTCACTGTTTTCTATTTTAATATGAATCTTGTTACAGTGTCTTATGGCAGAAACTCTATAAGGATTCAGAAAAAAAAACAAATATTTTTTCTTCCTTTTCTTACCTATCTACTAAGAGCTTTGTGGTGGGTTTTTTCGCTTGACTGTTGTTTTTTTAAAGTAGCATTTTGCTATAAAATTCAGTGACCATCAGCAATCTGCTGTGCTGAAAAAGTCACTTATTTAAAATTTTTTAATGGTAAGGAGAAAAAAGCCTGCTTGAGAAAGTGGAGGAGCTCATTCAACATGTACATGTTAGTGCTTCTCAGCTGAGCAATGTGAAGTTCCTACAGGTGTTTTAAACTTTTCAAAATGCAAAGCAAAACCCTTCATTTAAAAGTTAACAATGGAGGGGGTGGAACATGAGAAAGCCATTTCATAGAGAAAATCTCGCATCCTTACAAAATAATTAATCATATCTGGCAATATATAAGCAAGACTTTAATTTAGATTGTTCTCTGCCCAGGCACCCAAGACAAACCTGAAACGCCTGTAAAAGTTTCCTACTTCAATTATAAATAGAGTAATTTTTCATCTGTAGATTTGATATGTCTGTTCTGCTTTCTAGTACTAAAAATGTAGACGTCCAAAAAACAAAAGCCATCCTTAGTACAGACTGGATTCTCATCTGTGAAAGGAAGTGCAGATTTTCAAACACATTAACTTCTTAAAAAAGCTGTAAGTTTTGACTTCCCTTGATTGGGCTGAGTTGCACTACTATTTTGATTTTGAACAGTTCATGAATATTGCAGTTCATTAATATTCTTCCCTGCTTTGCAGACGCAAGAGTCCTGACACAGAATGACTCATTCAAAGCAGATAAATAGATTATTGGCAGTGTCAGATGTCAAACTGAGCACCTAGATTCTCAGATTACTCTCTAACGCAGACAAATCAGGTCATTTAAAAATTAAACCCTTCTGACACCTCTGACATCAAGCATTGTACCTATGCAGGAGCTTAAAGACTACTTGCACCCATGTTCTGCACATGAAGGCATAAAATCAGAGAAAGCTGAAACCCTGCTGAGTGATACTGGCAGCTTTATGAGCTCACAGCAAGTTTCACCTTTTAACCTAATCCTAACACCTACTCTTACCACCCTATCTCACCAATATTATCTCAGTTAGTTCTAACTAACTCTGCACAGCAAGAAACAGTATTACCTTTATCTTTTTTAAAGTTCTTGCTTTTCATCACTTCCTTTCCCTTGATTTGCTGGTTGCTTCAAATTCATAGTATATGTAATTTTTTTCTAAGATGCATTATTTTTTATTTGTCCATAGATGTCTAACAGCACAAATATTGCCAAGTATTGCTGCAGCAGCAGTGTATTCCTGAGTACCTGGAAGTGATTTCTGTAACTCAGAAGGTGACTTCCACCCCTCAAAGTATACCACTCTGGTCTATGAGCTCTGGTCTGGACAACACACAGCATGCAAGAATCTATTCCATTTCTTTCAAGTGCTGTAGATAGTCTCATGCAATCAGTTCCATGTGGCACTAACAGCCTGAAGTAACGTTTTTCATTCAATTCTGCTGGTTTTGCTGCACTTACATGCAGCTCCTCCTCAGGAGTGCTCTCCTAAGAGGTCAATGTTTAAAAGGAAGTCCAATCCGCAGAATCTTAACCTTTATAGTCCAAGTCTGTAATCAACAGAAAACTCCAATTAACTCCTAAGAAAATACCTGGTACTGATTAAAGGGACAGGATTAACTTGGTACAAAAAATTACCAAAATGGTCTACCTGTGTAGAAGGCTAATGTTTAGTTCACCCCTACAGTTCTGCTTGAATAAGTGCTATCATTCATAACCCTTCTAGTGAGTGTTTCAGTAAATTTCTTCCTTTTGTCCACAAACAGGAGAATGAATTGACTGAACAGTAACTAACACATGTGCCATGAAGCAAGCTAAAAAATGCAGTGTTTGTCTTAATCATTTTCACTACTAGACTGCATCTGGCCAAGAAAGAAACCCTGAACTGTTGTTTGTATTTACCTGTTCCTTTCTAATTTTCCTAGTTGTACTATTTATAGCCTTAATTGGTAATTAAACTTGACAGTGTTTCTAGAATGCTTAGTACAAACAATTTTCACATGGTAATCATACAGTTCCTTTAGTGAGTCTCTAAAGGATATCTCAAATATAAAAACAGATTCCAAGGCTCTATTAAATTATAAGACTCTGGAATGTGGAAGGAAGTGAAGGTATTCTGGGACTGAAATCCCATCCCATCCTTCACGGTAAACCAACCTGTTTAAGAAAAAGCAGCTTTTAACTCTCTATGACAACATTCTATTCCTTGACATGATGCTGACTTGTTATTCATAGAATAAAGCAGGATTTACCACTATGTACCAAAAACTTCTCAAGAGTTAAAATTTGTGAACAGGCAACTATCTGCAATCTGTAGCACTCCTCTTCCAACATTTCACAAAAGCTCAATATCCATTCCAAAAACTACCTTCTTTTTGTCAAGTAGCAAGTCAAGTGTGTCTTTTGGACACATAAATCTGGTACCCCTCAAAGTATCATCCAGCAACAGCCAGTTTTGCAGGACTGCTTTTCCAGATAAGGACTCACACACAGATGTGCATGAAGAAGTCTCTGGTTGCTGGGAAACTGAACCCAGAATTCATTTCCCATAACCAAGTAAGTGGAGAGCCATACGTGAGAAGCTCCTTTTTCCTCAGCTCTTCTATGGAAGACAAGGCTCAGAATTTCACTAAGATTTCCGGAAAACACCTCTAGAGGGCGATTTAAGACCCTCCTTCAATTCACCGTGTGACACCCCCCAGACCCTCCTCTGCCTTTAACACAGGTGCTTCAGCTGGACAGATGGACCATTTCCATGTTTTTAACGATTTTAAGGATGCAATCCAGATGCATCTTTGCACAAAGAAACATTTAATTGCAGTTAGCATTATGGTTTTAATTGGCTTTTCCTCCTAGGCCTGGCCACTTTGTCCATCCTTGGACAGATATTACTGCCTGGGTCTTGCTGTTCCCATCATGACCTGGAATGCATCTGACTTCTGGCTGTTCCCTGATGTTGACTGCAAGTCATGTTCAATACCAAGTGTTGGAAGCATCTGAAATAAGCTTCAGGAAATGATCACAGGACCACAGGCATGGAAGATACTTTCTAGTGCAAGCATGAGGGTATGTTCAGTAATACAGAGCTCCCTAGCCATCAGTGGTCTTTTTCAACCCTTTGATGTGTGTGTGCCTTCTCCTAGAAGGACTGCTGCCATTCTGCTGCTTTCAGCCCCACCTCTCTTCCCTATCCTGATAGTTCCATTAAATAAAATTACAGTTATGGTGACTTCACAACATTTTGCACACAGACTTTTCCTTTGAATACTTAAATTAATTAAAACCTACCTTGTCCTGAAGGATTTGCTGCCATCCTTCAATTTTCAGCCCTTGTTTTATTCAACTGTAGTTCAAATCTTTTAACCCCCACAAATATCTGCAAAACAGGCACAACCTAAGATAGACATACTTCTTCAAAAGAAGAGCCTGGATTTCGTTCTATTAGAGATTTTATAAACATGGCAACTGTCAGAAAGCATAAGCCAAACAGCACATGCACACTGCTTAAAATGTATTATACAGTTTATATTGTTCTGATTGGAACCTTCAGCTTGAAATATCAAGAGCTGTGCTAATTCTTTTTCAGAGTCTAGTAATTTCTATTAGCAACAATAGCAATTTCTAGTAATTTCTATTCTAGTAAGAACAACCTTTAGAGTTATTCTGGAGTCACACACGGTTTTCCCAACTGAATTTCTTCCTGACAACAGGAATGTCAGATTACATTTAAGAATCACATTAAACCATTGGAGTCCTTAAATGCTAAAGCCTTTGAACACCTCGGTTTAGGCTCCAACTCAAGAAAAACTGACTGTCTGAGGAGAGACAATTTAAACCCTGGATACAAGGCCAGCCAAAGGTGGCTGCAGCTCTGGCAAAACAAAAAAGGAGCCTGTTCCTCTGCCACATGTCACCTCGAGCCATCATCAACTTCTGCTTCCATCAAGGTGCCCGGCTGTGAAGACGGGCGGCGAAGACCACTGGCTGAGCCAGCCAGGCGGAGGGGAGGGACGAGAGCGGTGAATCCTACGGGAAACGGAACCAGGAGCCTCAGTCAGACTCCCACGGAAGACCAGGACGCTGTCACGCCTGGACCTGCGGGTCCCGGTGCAGCGCGCTGGTCCAGCGGGGCAGTACCCCAAGGGCAATATTAATTAAGCGCAGTGACAGCGGTCGGAACGCGCTTATCCAAGGACCAGGGACGGCCTGACCCACTCCTGCCGCTACCTGCCTCCCCCAAACCTCGGGAATGGGCTCCCCCGCTCGCCTTTCTCCCCCGCCCACGACGGATGAATAGACTGTCTCGTCCTCGCCGGGCGGGCGAGGATGCTCCATCCGTCCGGGATGGACACCTGCCCTCCGTTACCCACCTGTCCGAGGGCTCCTAGCAGCCCCGCCGCCCTCACCCGCAGCGTAGCAGCCCCGCGGCCATCTTACCCCGGCTCGCCCCGCCGCCACGCGATCGTGACGCGCTCTCTGCGCGACGGCTCCTCCCCGTCCGGGCACTTCCCGTCGCTGCCCGGAACGGTCGGGCCGAGGGATCGGGGTGGTGAGGGCGAAGTACGGCCGCGCTCCAGGGATCTCTCCGTGCAACCTTAAGGCTCTGTTTTCCTGCCTCATCCGCCTGGGCACGGGAGCAAGCGCGAGGGCCTCACCCTCGGGTCTCGGTGTGGCGCCTCCAGGCAGCAACACGGTTAAATGGGAAAAAAATACAAGTGGAAGGGAAGGGGTCACAAAATCACTTAGGCTGGAAAAGACCTCTTGAGATTGAGTCCCACCTAAGACTGAACACCACGTTAGCTAGACCACAGCACTGAGTGGCACAGCACCACGTCCAGTCTTTCCTTAAACACCTTCAAGAACGGTGACTTCACCACCTCCCCCGAGCAGCCCATTCCAATGTCTGAATCACCCTTTCTGTTGAGAACTTCTTCCTAATGTCCAACCTAAATCTCCCCTGGCACATCTTAAGACTACATCCTCTCATCCTGTTACTGGTTGCCTGGGAGAACAGGCCGACCCCCACCCGGCTACAACTTCCTTGCAGGTGGCTGTAGAGAGTGAAAAGGTCCCCCTTGAGCCTCCTCCTCTCCAGGTTAAACAACCCCAGAACCCCTGACCTCCCTACTTTTTTTTTTTTTTAAGAGTCCCACACTTTGAATACAGCAAGAATATTTGGCATGAATTTCAGAAAGGTTTGTTCATGGAACTACTGCTTTTGAAATGTCAAGTAGCGGGCTTATAGGTGAGAGTATCTTTAATTGAGTGATCTGGTCAAACCTGGAGGATAAGCCTTGGTCTTGTAACAGCAAACTGTGACTTTTTGTTTATGTCCTCGTGGTTAAAATCAAACCAGGCTGAGTAGTGATTTGAACTGTGGCCTGTAGTAGCTGTAGCTCTCATCGTACATAAATAAAATCAATTAGTAAGAACTGCAATAAATTAATAATCTAAAATACTGCAACAGATGGGGCCAACACTGACTTCTTGATAGCCAAAAATCAGTCACATTGCCTACTTCAGTTTTATATGCAGGGTTTTTTTAGGGCACTAAACAATTTTAATTACATAAAGGCCTTTTTTTACCAAATTGACAGATAAGTACAGGAAATCAGTTTTTTTTTTTTTTTATGACTTAGTTCGAGGTGTCTCTGTGTAGACACCCTTTGGCTTTACCTTTTTAATATTAAGGTTTTGATGGTAGACGTAACAGGCATTTCTGAGCAAATGGCACTTTTGTATGGCAAAGGTGATATTGGATCTGGTTGTCAAACCCTCTGCACACTGCAGAGTAATTTCGTGTGCTTCCTCTTTCTGTAAGTCCATATTATAAGTCTATTATAAGTCCATAACCTCATCACTCTTCAGGCCTAAAGTGGAACAATGGCTTATTAAAAACTGTAGGTTTAGTTACAATGGAATTATTTATATTGGTAAAAGCATACATAGGCTGTGCCTGGTGCTAAATGCCACACTAGTCCATTAGCTTGGACAACCAAATATATACATAAATGTTGAAGGCAATAAACCATTTCTTAAGGTCTGCTGCAGCCAGCTATACTAGATGATGAAGAAATAAATTACATTTTGAAAGTGTACAGAATGTATAAAAATCCTGTCAGTATCTACACTAATTGATTAATTTGTCTTAAAATAGTGTGCCTTAGTATTATACACATAGATTCTGTGAGACAGGCAATATTCTTCTACCCAAGTGTGCTGTCTGTCCAAGCATTTATACTTACTTTTCAAACACTAAATGTAAAATTTGAAAAACTGAACAAATTTATATCTGGAAACTTGCAACGTCCAGATGTAGAATTTAGTTACCTGGATCGTTGGCCTGGTAAAACCAGTGTGCCTGTGTGTGTGTTTGTCTGGGAGTGTGTGTGTGTCTCTACCCAAACCAGGGGACAATCTCAGGGAGTTTTCTGTTTGCTTTGTTAATTAATACTGTGGAAAGCAAGCATTGCTGCCATTCCCACATACAAGTATTATTTTCAACTGTTCTCTTTGCATGAACAGCTGACTGAGCACCTTCCCTCCTTCTGATTTTCATGTTTCGTTTTGTTTCATTTTGTAATTTCTCATTGTGCCGTGAGAACTGTCGTATGTGCTATTTTTTTTCCCTTTTAATTATTCTCTCTTGGGTGATCTGCAGTCTCTTTTATCTAGATATCTTGCTTGTTATCCTGAACTGCTGAGAAGCATTGTGAGTGGAGACCAGCGCAGCACCCAAGCCAATAATCCTAACTGGTGCATTTCTCTGCATCGTCATGAGAGGACTGAGGTTGTTAGTGATTCTAAAAAGCTGTAGTTTGAGACAGACAGGCCAAGCTGCTGGGCTCTTTCTGGACACAGCTAATGCTGTTAAGAAGAATTAATTAGTGGACAGTGGTCCTTGTCCGGGGATCAAGGAAGGAAGAAGAAGCAGGGTGTGGAGGAGGAATCATCAGCAAGGAAACTCAGGTGCAGAAAAGCTGAGACTCGTTAATTCTTTGTTTTGGTACGAGTGTGGTGAAAATTGATTATAGTAACTTTGACCATCTCTGCAAAAACATAGTCCTGCCTCAAGTCAAATGATCCTTTGGCTTTGGGAGGAGTTTCATATCAATGTCAATTAATTTCCTCCTTGGGTTGTAGAAACAGGAAGGAATGAAGCCCTTGAAAGGAGTGGTGTCTAATCTCTAGAGTTTTAGAATACTTTCATTTTCCCTGAAATTACTCCTTCTTGTTCACCATAATCAAACAAAAAAATACAAAATGTAGCATTTATAGTGTGTCTATTGAAAAGTCATTACAAAATTTTCAGTTTAATAAAGCTGTTCTTGAACATTGCCTCACAAATCTGGCCGTGCTGTTTCTTGAGGCAATATAATGCTGTTTTTCAGGCTGACTGTTCTTGTCATGTTAGAGTAGAGGGAGCTGTGTATCTCGTTATATAAGAAAACCCCTATTTTAAATTGGATGTGATACTGAATGATCATAAATGTCAGTATTTCAGAATGGCCATGGGCAGTTCTACTCACTAGGCTGAGGTAAAATATTGATTTACTTGTTGTTCCCCCCCTTGCACCCCACTCAGTGAAAATAGTATGTGCAGGATGTCTCCTTGGCTTGAGCCAAGATCTTCCAGAATGCTGCTCTTATTTCCAGTTGGCAGTACTACTCATACAGAGCCATCCTAAACACCTCCTTTTATTTCTCTATTTATGGTTTTCGTGGTTTGTCACAAAAAAAAACCCCAAACCCTCAAACAAAGTAGAATGTTTTAAAGAGTCTTTAAACATTTTAGTTGTATTACTTTTTTATATCCACTTGCCTAAAGATACTGTATCCATGTATCCATACTGTCTTTCTCCTTGACTGGATTTCTGATTTTTCATTTGATAGCCATTTAGCATGGGCTTTTGCTTTCTATCACAAGTGCCCTATGTTTGCACTCTCCTTTTTATTGCATCCCCATCAAACTTGACAGCTTCGAAGGCTTTTGATGCAGCAAAAGCTTAGCCGTTAGCTTACATGTGTGAGTGCTCATGTGTTGTGTGCTGTTGACTTGAAACTGATCCCATCTCTCTAGAGAGTCAAAGACCAGGAGCATAAGATTCAACTGGGTCGGGTCAAAAGCCTACCCTCTTCAATCTCTGCAGTACAAGACATGAGCTTTAAAAGCATAAGAAAGGAAGGACCTTCTTCAAAAGACAGCTGGATTTTATTTATTTTTTTTTTACATCCTCTAGAATGGTCTCTTGTTCCATATTGGTTTCATATGTGCTTACGTGTAGACAGACACAAACATTATCCTTTCCAAGGTAGACCACAGTGGGGAAAAGATAAAGCGGTTGAGGGGAGGCTGTTGACAGTGTGGGAAAAGAGCTTTTACTGCCCTTGACCTGGCAAACCAGCCAAGCCTGACAGTATGACTGTTGTGGCCTCCAGCCTACCTTTGTACTGTTTGGATTGTGCTATAGAGAAGAATCCTATAATTTAGGCTTTAAATAGAATAATTAATGAAAAGCAGGTGTGCTTTACATGTTTGGTCTAGTAAATAAATACAACCTGAAGTTAGCCTCCTGATATTGATTGTAAACCCTACTGCCATTTTATGTCTCGTTATCTGAACAAGATGAAGATACATTAAAGACAATGTTAATAAACAACTGAGAGTCCTTTTCAGCTCACACTGAGCACTTATAAAGCCATCTGCCATTAAAAAAGCATCCTGAGTGGTATTACTGGAGTAACTGGCACTTCAAATCAGAACAGCAGTACAAGATAGGTGCTGCCTGTCTTTAAATTTGTAAATAGTCTTCCTACAGGTGACCTGTAGATTCTTTCCTTATTTATCCAAGTAACAATCCAAAGAGGTAGCCTGCAGGACTTTGATTTCAGTGATACAGAGACAGAGCTATTTTCTTCAGAAAAAAACACATGAAACTGGTGACTTTTGGTCTTAAATTGGTGAGATTCTTGATCCCCAGATCGACCATTTTTCTTCTTGCCCAGTTAGCATTACATGCATACCTATTCTGTTTCATCTTGTTTCTGATCTGAAATGATGTAAACATAATAAATAATAGTTAGGATTTTGCTAGGAGAGCATGCCAGTTTTTTCAGGTTAACTTGGGTTAAGACGTGGGCATTGAATAGCAGCTTCCAGTCAACTTGTCATTGACTTTGGTTTTCATTGTCTTTTATTATGGTTGCATATTTCATGTGCGTATTGGTTTTCACTTGGTCAATGTTTAACAAAAAGAAAACTACCAATATAAAGGTCAAGGACAATATTACAGTCATAAAATTATACCATCACAGTTGGTGGTAAGGAGTAGGAACTGGAGAATGGTACATTACCATGTTTTTAATCACTCATAATTTCTTAGCAGAATTAAAATAATTACTTATTTCACTGCTGGTGTTAGAGAAAAGACACTTTCCTTCCTCAGTTTTTGGCTATACCTCTTGTGCCTGCTATTGGACCCACATAATCCACATGCTTGTGCATTTAGAGGTTTTCTGTTTGTGTGTAGAAAACAATTCCTATAAGAAGTCAGCTACATAGCATGCCTTTTTTTCTGTTTTGTTTCATGCACAAAAGATCTGGAATTCTTTATGACCTCTGTTGATAATGTGTGAGTATTTCTAATCAAGGTACAGGAATTTGCTCCCAACTCTAATTTCAAATGCAAGTCTTAAAACTGTTTTATCTTCTGTCTTTTTGAAGTTCCAACCCTTGAAATCAAGTACACGAGATTGTAGTCTTCCATGTTAAAAAAAAATAGAAACGAGTTTTTCTCATGGCTGAAGAGGAGGCTCACCTTAGTCTATAGTATGAACTTGCAGAGAATACAGCAAAGAAAAGGCCATCCAGTTGTAGAGATTTTTCAGATTACACATTTAACGTTAGTTTAATCAATTTTGACATATGATTTATGATTTTTGAACTCTTCTCATAGAAAGATAGAATGGTTTGGGTTGGAAGGGACCCTAAAAATCATCTAGTTCCAACCCCAGTGGACACCTTCCACTAGACCAGGTTGCTCATATCCCCATCCAATATGGCTTTCTTCTCATTCTCAGTATCATAGTTTGCATCTGCTTCTGAAGGTATCTGTCATGGTTAAACTGCTACCTGTATAATCTTTACAGACTTAGTACTTACTAAAATCAGAGAATAGACATCTGTCTTTAGTCAGTAAGTAAAATCTCTGGAGCATGGAACTTCATCCTTGTATACAGGATAATTGAGAGGTCACCTCAGAAACTAGACATAATGACTTCTGTAGCAACACATGTTATCTGAATAACCGAATCTTTCACACTGGAAGGGACATAGGGAGTTCTCTGGTCCAATGCCTTGCTTAAAGGAGGCTCAGACATGAGACCAGACTAGATTGTCCTGAGAATCTCCAAGGGTGGAGACTGCACAATCTCTTTCTGCAACCTGCTCTGCCTCTTGGCTGTCTTCAGGGAGAAAAAATTCTTCCTAACATCCATTAGGAATTTCCTGTTTGATTGATGTCCTTTATCTCTGGTCCTCTTGCTATAGTCTGCTGTGAAAAGCCCAGTTCTCTCTTGCATTCTCTCCCTACAGGGTACTGGAGGTTGCAATTAAGTGCCCTTGAAGCCACATGTGCTCCAGGCTGAAAAAGCCTCAGTCCCGTGGCTGCTGCTTGTAGGTAAGTGTTCCTGTCATCAGACATCGCAGTGCCCCCCTCTGAACTTTTTCCAGTTTGTCAGCATCTTGTATAAACATCCCACAATTGAACACAGTATATCTGATAAGGTGTAACAGGTGCCAAGCAGAGAGTTATAAACCCTGCCCTCAACCTGCTGCCTGTGCTGCCTGCTGTGTAGGCAGCCTGGATACTGTTGGTCTTTCCTGCAAGGATGCAGCAGGCTTATGCTCAGCTTGCTGTCCACCAAGCTAAGGTTTGATGAGTAGAAGGTCATTTGTACCTGCACAGAGCTGGAATGCCCTAAGGTTTCCAAGTGTTGAAGGTTTTGGCTGTCCCTGACAGGCTTCCTTTGGAGAGGGATTCAGCTAGAAACAAAGGTGGGTGAGGATGCTTAAGGGAAAAGAGAGGAATAGCTCTTAGTAAGTCATAAGCCTTTGAAGTACAGGCTCTTGCAAGGGGAGGGAAGGGGAGTTCCCACTGAGGGGAACTAGTTCCTGAGCAGTGGAGCAGATACACAAACCTACCTGCTGCTTTATCACAGTAGTTTCCACTTAAGATTTGGATAGTCTAGAAGGTGGCTGAGATGTATGTATTTATGATAATTTGTATTGTTTCCTTTTCCTGATACATAGGTTGTTGTTTCTGAAGTGTCACGAACAAAGAATATTTCACAGCCGCTTTCTCACTGGGGCCTGGCACTTTATTTGGACTTTTGATTGTATTGGAATTCAAACATTATGTAACATTGAACAGTTATTTATAGTAAGGATTGATTTTTTTCCCTATGATAAATAGGATTTCTTTTTGTAATGACAGTCCACAGTGTTGCGCTCTCATGCTTGTCCTGCTGTGTGGCACCTGGCATTGACACCTGTAAAACTTCCTAGCTTAGCTTTAGGTACTGGTGCTGCACTTCTGATTTCAGTGGATTGTACTTGCCCGGGAAAAGTTAAGACACAAGTGAAATATTTACAGCATCCAAGTCTTGTTAGGTCAAGTCTTGTATGTTTATATTCATATATCTATCTATAGCTGGAAGGGATTGTGACAGTCTCATAGTAATACACATCACTTGCCCCAGTAGCATGTTACTCTAGTATGTCTAATTAGTGCTGAGCACATTATTTGCAAAAAAAATAATGAATCAGACAAATTTAGCTGCTTTATCTGCTCAGGGAATATTTTAAACCAGACTATTATTTTTCATCCATTTATTAACTATTCTGCAGTCATCAGCACTTTTTCCATGTTATTAAATGTGGACAGATCATGGTGATGAATACATGCTGGTAGACAAATTTGCATGGATCACTTCTATATGATTTAATATAATATTTCATCTCATTACTCTACAAAAATGCAAGATCTCTCAAAGGCAGTGAAAGCAGACAAACAGCCATCAGTGAAAGCGTGTTTCTGTGTTTTGCTGGCCCTACGTGCAAGCATCTGCCTGTGTGTCCACTTCTGATGCACTCCCACCGCGAGGGAGGCCCAGGGTAAGGGCCTTGTCCCTCCTGTGCCCGGCTGGGGTCGGCCCTGTCTGGTGGAGGCGCCGCCGAAGCCCAGCTGCCATCTCAGACACCCTCCCGCCCACACCGACACCGACTTCAGTGGAGCTCTCGTCCTGCACCAGTTTTCCACGGCTTCCCTTCAAACACGCAAAGAGTTTGAGGTCGGTGAACTGAGCCTGGAAAAGCCGAGGAGCTGGGTTGCTTTTCTGGCGCTTGACCCGCCGTTCGACACCGTGCGGCACCAGCGCCGTCGGGGGGCGGTGGCAGCGCCCCAGGCTTCGAGGGTCCCGATACCTCCCGCGGCCCGGCCCGGCCCGACCCGACCCGACCCGACCCGCCTGGGGCTTCGGCGGGTCCCGATGCCGCCCCAGGGCCGCCGCCCCAGGGCCGCCTCCCCTCGCCGCCCCGCCGGGTCCTGCCGGGGGCGGCGCTGTTCCCGCCTTGGCCGTGCTGGGCGGCGCCGCGCCTTCCGCGGCCGGGCCGGGGCGGCAGGTGGCGCGGATGGCGCCTTGGAAGGGGCGGGCGGCGGCGGCGTAGGCGGGCGCTGCGCTCGCTCCTCCTCCTCCGCCGCAGCCGCCGCCGCCTTCTGCCGCTCCTCGTAGCGCGGCGGTGGCGGGCAGGCTCCAGCCGCGGCCCCGCAGCTCCTCGCCGAGGCGGCGCGGCCTCCGCTCTCTCCTTCCTTGCCTCAGTCGCTGCCCGGCCCCGGAGCGATGTCGGGCGGCGCGGCGAGCGCCCCCAAGCCCCTCCCGTCCTCCGGGCCCAAGTCGCTGCGGGAGATGCCGCATCCCCTGGCCACGTCCAGCAGCGAGGAGATGGGGCCGGCGCTCACCCCCAGCCCTGACCTGCTCCTGCCCCGCAGCATCGCCGACAAGGTACGGCCCGGGGAAGGGGGGCGCGGCATTTGGGGGGCGGGGGGCGCTAATGTTGAAGACGTTTCTGCCCCTCTCTGTTGAAAGAGAGTATGGAGAGGAGGGAGAAGGGCTGTGTGTGTCTTGCCACGCCACATCCCTTTTCCCTGCTTCGTCTCCCCGCGGGGAAATGAAGCCCTGGGCGCTGCTGACATCCATTGCAAGAGCCCGGGGCTGCTCGAGCCGGGAGAAGGCACCCTTTGTGAGGGCTGAAGGCATCGTGTCCCTCGCTGTCACCGCGGTGGTTGCGAGAGGCAGTGTCTGCCTGTGGCTCATACCCTCTACAGAAAGGTGTAAATGCTTCAGGAATTGCTGCAGCTTCTTTGCTATCTCTCTCCTTCCTGAAGCCCTCACGGGCAAAGCTTGCAGCTGCCGCTGTTTCCTTACCATCAAGCTTGCCATCAAATGCTCTGTGATTGTCCTTTCCAAGCTGAACTTCTGCTCACTGCTTCACAGCTCTGTAATACGGATAGGATGCTGTTGCAGGAGTATCTGTGCCCACTTTCCCTTCTCTTGATCAGGCTAATGTCCACAGGACACTAGTGGACTTTGTGAAGTGCCTTCCCTGTGTGTGCGGGCCTTGGATGTGATAATTCAGTAGTGGCAGCACTGAAAACAGTAGTGGCAGTACACCACTTGATACATTAGCTGCACTTGCAAGGACTTGGTATCTCTGTAGACAGACTTCCTGAAATGTGTGAGGTAGGATTTCCTGGGAGCAAGAACTGCAAGGGGTGATATTGGCTTGAAGTTTTATAATAAGCAGTCCTGGGCCAGCTGGCTTGTGCTGCTAGTGTTACTGAGTTGCTGGTGTCAAGAGGTGCTTCCTCTATGGCTGTTGTCCTGGGGAGCATGGAGCTGTTTCTGGGCAGGATGGATCAGCCTTGGGACTCTCAGCAATATCTGGCCCGATACACTCCCATGTTACAGAGTGAGTCAAAGTAGCCTGGCCTCTTCCATGTTTCACCTGCTGCCTGCATCTGTCACGTATGGATTCAGCACTTCTTCCTGCCTGTTTAAGGAGCCCTTTCCTTGAACATGTGCCCACTGTTGCTCTAGTGAGAAGCCAGGCTTACCTTCTCTCCAGGAACATATGCCTTCATCTAAGAAGTTTGTCAGTGTTGATGATCTGCTGAGATAAGGGATATGCGACTAAGGTGGGTGTAGAAATTGTGAAGGTTTTTGTCTGGGATGGCTTGGATTTACTCATGCAACTGCATTCCTGTCTGACCAACCTGTAGCAGTAGAAGTTGGCAGCTGCCTTCACAGGTCTCCTTGCAGCTGAGAAGTACAGTGGTAGTACTGTACTCGCTGTCCATCCACGCTGCTGTGTAGCTGCTGAGAAGCAGTGTTCTGAGGAGTAACTCACACCCGATAACTTCTTCCCTCAGTTGTATTCAAGAATTTTTTTGCTTTTGGAGTGCAAGCCAGCTCCTCTCTGCTTTACTGCTTTGAGATACCTTGAGAAGTGTATCAGTATCCCTCACAACATAGGAGCAGTAAAACCTCTCTAGCCTCAGGCTATGGTCAGCTAACTTCTTATTGGTAGGAAGGTTCTTGCCCAGTTATTCCATCAGCAATAGAGGTGAAGTCTGTCTTCCAGTACCTGTATGTAGTACTGTGGGCACTTGGCAGCATAGTAGTACCCTAAAGGGGAGAGCAAAAAAGGGCTGTGGTAGGCAATGTTTAGACTTCAGAACAGTTCAGTAGTTGACCTGGAAATGGCACTAGGCTAATGATCCTTGAAGAATAAAAGGATTTCCAGTAGGAAGAGAATAGCATTCTTTTTTTCTCTTTAGCTGAATTAGCAGAAGCAGCCAAATATCTTATCCTCCTGGTAGAAGGAGTCCAGCTGTTCTGCTGTGTATGGGATGTCTCTTTTTCTGCTTAATACCTCAGGAACTGGCAAGAAAAAAATGTGTTCTCTCCCACCTCAGAAAAAACTTCAGCAAGCAAACAGGTATTCCTGCCTTTAAGGCAAGAGTAAACTTCCACTGCTTGAACTGTCTATTGAGTAGTCTATAGGGTGAGTAGGGTAACTGGAGATAAAATAGGTAACAACCTTATATGTTGTTAGTATGTCTCTTAGTCTTAGAATCATAGTATGGTTTGGGTTGGAAAGGACCTCAAAAATCACCTAGTCCCCAACCCCCCTACTGCGGACAGGGACACCTTTTACTAGACCAGGTTGCTCAGAGCTCCATCCAGCCTGGCCTTGAACACTTCCAGGGATGGGGCATCCATATTGTGTAACCTTAGGTCTTAATCTCTGATGGTGGGTCATTAATATTTTGAAAGGCTGGCTCACTAATCAGCTAACAATGTTGAGTTACTTCAGTAGTTCAGTAACAGAGGGAAGTCAGCATTCAAGTCTGATTTAGGCTTAAAACTCTGCAGCTGTTATTTATTGATTCTTGTGTGGGAGCTGTGCTCATCTGCTCTCTTGGGCTTCCCAAGGGCCTTGCTGGAGAATCTGATGGAGACTGGTACTGCAGAAGTTTTGGTTGAAGTCTCCTGCTTCACAGTGACTCTGGGTCAGTTAGATTCTTTATGGACTACTCTCCTTATCCAGGCCTATATTAGGACATCCCTTTGACAAGAGGGCTAGTGACATTAGCTGGCACATCACCACAAAGTGGATAACTTTCTTTTCTGTGTTCCTCATGCCTTCTCTGAGCAAATAATTCCTAAACACTGCTGCAGCCCTAAAGTACCTAAGACTGGAATCCTCTGAGTGGAGAAAGTTTGGATGTAAAGGCAGATTGTTTGCTGATAAAGTAGTGCTTCAATTTTTGCTACACAGGTGCGCAGCCTGAAATGTCTGAACCTCTGCCATCACTGCTTTGCATTCTTTAAAGCATGCTTTTCTTGCCTTTTGGTGTTTTTTTTTTTTTTTAGCTGTTGAGTAAGAACGCTCCTTTATCCCGAGTTAGAGAAACCTGGAGGACAGGAACACCTGCCTGTTTTGATTCAAACATGGGAATAATCTAATGGTGTAGAGCCTGTGTAACTTTGAAGTCTCATAAACCTTAGGTTGGTGTTTAAGAAAAGTGGCTAATGCTATTAGAGCAGTTGGTCATGGGAAAGGGAAGGAAAAACTGAGCTGTTTTCTGAGGCCACTAAGTAGACTAGTCTCAAGTTTTCTGAATCTTGGGAAGAGAGCTGCAGAGCTTTGTTGTCTGAAGTAGCGTCCTCATCCTGACTTGTAGTGGAGAGCAGTTTTAGGAGCAGGACACCTTGACTTTTGACAACATCTTACCTCTTAAATGAAAAGGTTATTTTAGTTAAGTACTTGACTTTCACGGTGATGCTGCAGCAAACATGAAACACTTGAGTTGTAGATACTTGCCTCTGAAGCATTTATATATTGGTCAGGCCTTTCTGTAAGGATCTTTTTATTCCCTTGAAGTCTAATTGCATAAAACATTGTCTTGATACCTGACCACCATCAACTTTTTTTGACTTTATTCTCCCTTTACCCGTGCTAGCTTTCAAATAAGGAGACAGCTAATGTTGAACCTAAGCTACTGACAGTGTTTGTTGTGTTTGGTTTTTTTCTTCTTAATTTTATTTGGTTGGTTTTTTTAACATCAGGTAAGAGGGGAAACAGGCAGGAGAAAACAATTCCTCAGGATGCACAACACAGTGTGTTGCAGAGTTAGTTGTAGAACTAAGGTCTTGCTGTTTTAGCTTTTGGAAGACATGCAAGCTAATTGAGGTCTGGTTTTCAGAGCAGATCCTCTTCTGAGGAGGGTAAGACAAATGGAGAAATGTCTGTGGATTTTTCTCTTCTTTTTCCTTTTTAAAAAAAGAAGGACGTTCTGCTTCCACATGAATACTTGACTCCAGTGCACTAGTTTGTCACTTTTGATAGGGAATCTACTCTGTGCACTAGAACAAACACTTTGACACTGAGGAGAAAAGACGTTATTAATGGGCCACTGAGTTTGGAGCAGAGGTGAGAAGTAGATGGTATTTTGCTATGTTTGGATTCAGCCTCACTGAGGCTGTGCCAACCTGCTGCTATGTGTTGGAAGTGCAAAGCTGTGCAGAGTGCGAAAGAGCGTTCTGTAAGGTTTACTTCCACTGTCCTCTAGCTATGGTCCCTCTAGACTTGTATCATGAGGGTATCTTCCTTACACTGTGGTGTTGGCTGTTCTTGCTGTGGTCTGCCTTGAGGCTGGCAGCTATCTGATAAGAATCCCAACTCACAGCACTGGTTTCTTTCCTAGCAGTCCAAAACCTTTCATATCCCACTTACCCTCGGATTCAGACTGCCTTGTCCTCTTTCGGACATCGCTGACTACTTGATACTGTACATGTGGCCAGCTACCTGTACCTTTCTCAACTTTTCTTCTTGGAAACTATGCATACCTTGCATTTGCCTCTGTTAGCTCTAGACAGCTGACGTGAGCTTCAAGGCTGTTTCACAGGTAGTATATCAAGCAGCTGTCAGAGCTGATGTGGAATACCAGGCTTGCAGTGAGTGCATGGCTTGAATGTAATAGTTCATGGAGATGGACATTAAAATTCCTACTGCCAACTTTTGGTTACTAACTGAAAACTCTTGCTTGCATGCTCATCTGCTTCCTTGCTACCACCCTGGTGAATTCTTGGACTTCTTATTAGCACCTGATCGAGTATAAACACTTGATGTGTTTGCTGGAGTGCTGTTACTTAGCACTCATTTTGAAAGGGAGCCTGGCATCTCTCCAACTCCAGAAAATATACTGAGAGTCTGAAGCTCTACTTCCAGCCTCCTTGGTTGCTATTTTATAATTATTGCTGTTAACTTTATCCACCCACAGAAGAAACCAGTTTGCAGTATAATCTGAAAACTTAAAATAGATCTGCCTAAGCTTCTACAAACCTCTTCCTTCTCTGACGAGATGAGAACTTAAACCACGTATTGTTCTTAAAGGAACCTAGAGGTGAATTCTCAGTTTTGGGAGAGACTGAAGACT